TTTACCTTACAGTGTGTACAGAAGCGACAGAAGTCAGTGTGTATGTTGGTGATTCTTGAGCGAAAACGGACAGGCTTCATTAGTGACTACACAAATAGTGAGTGAGTTTATATCTAAAGTCACATCGGCAATATTTCTGCCATATCGTGACTAAAACAAGTTATAATTTTATAATAAATACAGATAAATTATAAAAACTGTCAGCGAAGGACAGTAAAAACAACTAGAATATCACGGATATGAATAGAAAACAAGCATGTAAATCTAAGCATTTTAATCATAGAAGACAGTACAATATAGAAACAAGGTATGTATTGCCAACAACTGATGGTTGATCACCATACCAGGGACCATTGGGACATTTGCTTCCTGCATGGACCCAAGCTAGATTTACACCATCCCTCGAGCTATTAGCCATTTTAGATACTCTAGCCCTGAATCAAAATAACATATATACTAAGCTTAAAAATAGTAGTAGATTTAAATTTATAGATTTGTATACAAGACGTTTATGCCATGTTGGACTCTGCTCTACACTTTTATAACACCTGTTCTCTTATGCCAGTGGAATAGAGCATATAAGCCTCACCTTTCAGCGTTAAGCAGACAATTATAAATAGTGTTGTTATAGCTTGTGTTTTAAATGTGTAAATGACACTGTAATGTTAAGATGTGTGCAGGGTGTAACATTAGTTGCCTCACTCATCCACTCACCAACTCAACTGTAAAATGATGATGATAAACAGGTATAAATGATGTTAGATGTAGCTTGTCACTTTGGCGACATTTTAGATGTGACAAATTCGTGCATTATCAAGTATTTACGTACATATTTTTCTTAATAAAAATTATTATTCCTTGCTTGTTGATAAACTGTTACCAATAAAATAAATATGTTTGATTTGCTGTTTGTTATCTAAAATGATTTGAAAGTAGTAAGATTGATTAAGATCAATATATCACGTACAGCTCGTTCTGAGTTGTACAGTTTGATATTCATTATATTTTGTCACCATGGTTACAAGCAAAATCGAAGCTGATCCCTTTAGATGACTTTTCTTTTCATTCGCAATCAAAAGCGAGAACTACAACGAAGAAAGCCTATTAAATGAACCAAAAGGTCAGAGATTTTCAGGTATTCACATAGTCCGGTGACCTTCAGTTTCAGAACCTATATCGACAATGCAGCTTCAATTACACTTTGCACTATCTGGCCATCATGGTCACGACCAAGTATATGATAAGGATTAAGTAGCATTCGTTGAATGTTGAACATATTATTAGGCTTCGGTCATGGAAATAGTGAACGTGGTGATTTCAGTTTCTTAAATGACGGTACACGTTGATGATGTTAGGTAACACAATGCAGACAACATGTAGGAAGGTAGTGACACAACGGTATCATGTGAAGAACATCTGACAAGGTAGTGACACAATACCAACAGCCTGTGACAAGGTAGTGACACAATACAGACAACATCTGACAAGGTAGTGACACTGACAATGAAGGATGATTATTTACTGGAAATGTGTGGAAATTAAAGCTGAACATATGTTTAAAATAGATATGTTAAACACTTACAGACTCTAAAAGGTATGGTAACACATGATGACAACATACAAGGTAGACACAATGACACAATGACACAACAACATGTGACAAGGTAGTGACACAATGCAGACAACATCTGACAGAAGGTAGTGACACAATGCACACAACATCTGACAAGGTAGTGACACAATGCACACAACATGTAAGAAGGTAGTGACACAATGCAGACAACATGTAAGAAGGTAGTGACACAATGCAGACAACATGTAAGAAGGTAGTGACACAATGCAGACAACATGTAAGAAGGTAGTGACACAATGCAGATAACATGTAAGAAGGTAGTGACACAATGCAGACAACATGTCAGAAGGTAGTGACACAATGCAGACAACATGTCAGAAGGTAGTGACACAATGCAGACAACATGTGAGAAGGTAGTGACCAAATGCAGACAACATGTGAGAAGGTAGTGACGCAATACTGACAACATGTGAGAAGGTAGTGACGCAATGCAGACAACATGTGAGAAGGTAGTGACGCAACACTGAGAACATGTGAGAAGGTTGTGACGCAATACTGACAACATATAAAAAGGTGGTGATACAATACTGACAACATGTGAGAAGGTAGTGACACAATGCCGACAACATCTGAGAAGGTAGTGACACAATGCATGATATCATAAGGTCAGGCCAAAATGTTGTGACAACATAAATAGAAATCCACCGAACTCGCTGGCCGGGTAATGTTGGATGAACGTCTGTTTGTACAGATCAAACAATGCTATCACATAACAAACGATACATTCTTCAAATTGAATTCACTTTGGGCTCTATCCATTAAAGAGCCATACAACTATATGAGCTCTCTCTGTCCTGACTGGACACCTGTGGATAGCTTGATATTGGCTCAAGTCAAACTTCGTGCAACTTGGTCAGAAATGAAAAGTCTTGTTACAAATGTCCCGCGTTAATGTGGACAGAATACAGGAAGCAAACGAGGAAAAGCTGAACGTTTGTTGCAGTGGCGATATTTCAGCTTCATGTATATCGCTTCAGCCTGTTAAAGTAATCTGTTCCCCACCAAATGCTTACTTTCCCCACCGAATCCTTACTTTCCCCACCGAATCCTTACTTTCTCCACCGAATCCTTACTTTCTCCACCGAATCCTTACTTTCTCCACCAAATCCTTACTTTCCCCACCGACTCCTTAGTTCAAGACACAGGGTGCCTCTCTTGCCCTGGAATCCTCACAAGAAACGCACAACGGAGACATGACCAAGCAGTGTTTCTGTTCAGCGTCCAGATTTCCAAAATACAAATCGGATAGTTTTGAACTACAATATAAAACATAGCTATAGTGATATATTCTTCAACAAAACCTCTACATATTATCCGTTTCAATGCCATGACATATTTTGTTACGACCCTCATAGTGGTTGTTGCACCAACAATTTTCAGAAGACACGTGAAGATCCGGGTTAGAATTGACATTCAGTAACCCATGCTTGTCGTAAGAGACGGCTAATGAGATCGGGTGGTCAGGGTCGCTGACTTGGTTGACCATGTTGTTGATCACTGCATGGATTGTCTGGTCCAGACTCGATTATTTACAAACCGCATTTACAGATGGAATATTGCTGAGTGCGGCATAAAACTAAACTCACTCATTCATAAATCAGCATATCAGTAGTTCATTGAAGTCCTGGTGGTATTCCTGTCAATCTATGATAGTGTGAAACAAAACTACTTTATTTCTCATGAGCAATATAAACAACTTGAATCAAATTCTGGACATATCTCCAAGTGTCAATAGCCATATCGTGTACAGAAAACCATTCAACAATCCGTAACTTCATCAGTCAGTTTCTCACCTGATACTCCAGGGAATCTTGAAACGAAGTGTGTCACTGTTACCACAAGTAGGATTATATGCTTCAGACTTACATACTCACATTTTATGAGTTCCAAAAATACTGGCAAACACCAGACACCAATTAGATGTAGTTGCAAGAAATGGTATCAAATCGTCTCCAGTCAATTTTAGAATGTCGTCTGCATCAGTCAGACGAAAATGATGAACGACGGTATATGTGGCAGATTGTTTGATTTCATTATATATTCGCGGTGGTGACACGGCATCACGACGTGAATAATACTGACGGTGTTCAAGTCAAGAAGATATTAATATAGAATTTATTCCTTCCAAATAATGCTTTCCATTTTAGGGGCGTTAATTTTACGATTTGCACGTGTTTCACTCGTCAATTAATATCTCAAAAATCCTGGATCAAGTACATCGTGGCGCATCTTGTATTTCTTCAGATTCTGTTCCTTCAAGCTTTTATTTTTTAATTTTTTGTTCCCAATGTGATGAGTACAAACACATGATGAGTACAAGCATATAGAAGAAAATGTGCACATACAAGCTAGTGAGCTCAAAAGCGATATAGTACACTTAGTACATTGAATATCAATATCAGTGATATGTTTTTGTTGAATAGTCATACAGGGTTAAATTCAGGGATGAGAGGAAACCATTTGGCTAAAAAGCTTTCAACATTATTATTTCTTCTTGAGACGAATGATTCAGTGGTAAATATGTAATTCAATATCCTTAAGTAATTATCAACTTTTGGAATTGTTTTTGTCAAAGAGCAAGTGTGTAAATATATCTCTTAGCAGATAAGATTATGTGGTTCAGTAATGGGTTCTTACCTAAAAAGACAAACGAGATCAAAGATTTTGTCAAATTAAGTGTTTGGATACGTTTCGTAATCCACTGTTCAAGTTTCTTACAGAAAGTTTTGGTTTCATCACATTCCCAATATACATGGAATAAGGTTTCAACAGAATCATTACACAAAGAACATATTGTATTGTCCACCAGATTCATTCTAAAAAGTTCTTTTTTGGTATAAACAATTCCGTGCAGATTCACATCTCTTAAATTCTTTCTACAAATATGAAAAATCAAATGCCAATCAAAATCAATACAGTCAAATATTGTTTCCCATTTTTGGCACATGTGAGGTTTAACATTTTCAGATAACAATTTATCATAGAATAATCCTTTTCATGGGGATATGAAATCCTTTTGGAGTGAATTTATTGTGGGGTCATTAATGTTTATATATCTATATTCTTTTAAAGTCTTTTTCCAAGGTTCAGGTAAAATATATATAACATATCCAAGATCTAAGTGAGTACCTTTTATATCAAATTTAAGCTTCAGTTGATCAAAGGATATAAACCCATGTTCATCACAAAGATCTTTGATCGTCAAGATTCCACTTTTAGCCCAGTGACTTATGATGTGATTTAAGTTTTTGAAATTGTTATTCAACCATAAAGGTTGGGATAAGATTTCATTAATGTTCTCTGCATCTATGGTATTTTTGATACAATATAATTTCTATGCTTTGAATACGTCTATCCAAAAAGGATTATCAACTGCAACTATATCCTGAAAATCTGCTCCATATTTTAGCATATCCTTAAAAGGAAAATTGCATGGGTTACCAGGATTTGTTTTTTTAAAGTATAGTTTGAGTGTAGATAATTTCATGGCGTTAACATAGGTCTTAATATCAATCATCCGTAGACCCCCATTTTGTAATCTATTTTTAAAGTGCTCCGTTTGATTTTGTCATTTTTGTCATTCCAGATGAATTTAAAAAATACTCTCTCAATCGCGGTGATAAAATCATCTGGAGGGTTAGGTAAAGTGTTAAACAGTTATTTTCCTTATCAGCGCCAAATGTCTTTTCCTCCAAGTTGCCAGTAATCTATTAATTTCTTCTAGTCTTTTCTTTGTGTTAATAACCCATAAATCATTCAAATCCGGAGTAAATTTAATTCCTAATACTTCAAATTGTTTTCTTTGCCATTGTATATTCAAATCTTGACATAGTATATCCCTGCTACCAGCTTTTGAGCCAATCCAGATTGGTTTAGTCTTATCTATGTTTATCTTTAGTCCTGACATATTGTAAAATGTATTAAGTGTGTCTATAGCAGAATACAAGTTTTCATCTGAGCCATCCAAAAATAGTTCGGTGTCATCTGCATATTGACCTAATTTGTATTCTTGATCCTCAATTACAATACCCTCTATAGTTTCAGGTTGTCTTATCATACAATCCTTCAAACTTACATAGAAGGAAATATGGTAATGGTAACGTTATCCGATGAACTGCGTTGCTGGAATGAACTGATGATTGCTCAAACCTGATGTCCCATATCGTAAAATCGATTATTGCCATTGATTCAATGTGGCAAAGTTACTGCTGATCAGTGGATCAAGAAGTGTCATTGAAAGCATTATATCAGAATTGACAGGCCACACAACGACCAGGCTGTTTCCTTATCCCAATCAGCTATGAAAAATTCATCTTACCTCTGACAGGATACCGAAGCTAGAACTAGTCGTTCAAGGTCCTATTGATGCTGCTTTCAAGAGGGGGTTAAGAGCACCACGAGCACATTGTCAGCAACTGGACAGGATCAGTGTGGACACATCTTTGGAACATTGATCTGCTGTAAAACTTTACTTCTTCCATAAACCTCGCAATTGGTCATTCTATTTCCTGCATAAAATGTCAAACCTCTATATTGCCGAGAAGCCCCCAGCCTAAGAGATGCATAAAAATGTTTCATAGAGTTAATGGAATATGTAAACCTATGTTATTTTATGTACAATCGGTGGGAACACAGATTGTTGCCCATGTAGTTTGCCCATGTCTTGTTCAAAGGCTGTGCTTAATCAGAGTTACATCATCCGATACGTTGAATTCCAAAAATGCATAAAATGAGACAACCATAACATGGCCCCACAATTCCATATAACTGAAATCGTTTAACTCGAGCTCCCTACCTGAATGGACTTGAAGCAATTATTATTATTATTATAGGATATTTATATAGCGCACATATCCACGAAACTAGTGCATGCTCTAGGCGCTGGTATTTTTCCCCTCGATCATTGGATGTCAATATCAACGGCACATCGTATTATCAATCTCAACTCCCTGGGGATTATACACTCTTGCAGCCACTAGGCGCATCGAGTTATTGTGGCTTTCTCATCCTAACGAGGTACCCATTCACAGCTGGGAGGACTGGGACACATAGTCACAGTACTTTGTCCAAGTTCACTGCACGTTGCTGTACCCGCAACTAGGTGTTTGCACGTATTCATGTGGCCACCATCTGGTCATATACCAACGGATTCGTGGGTTCTTTTAAGTGCACAGGGTTGTGTACTGTACACTAGGTGCTGTGACAACACTGAAAGAGTCTGCACACAATGTTGACTCCAAGGTTTTTACACCCGGTCACAGGTGGGCTCGACCCCGACACCTCAAGCTCGCTGGATCACTAGCCTGGCGCCCACCGCGACTTGGAGCAATCATTGTTGAACACTAGATCACAAACTCTGACATTTATAAACCAGGATTAGCCCAGACAAATTAGTATGATTAAAAAGAATACATCAGAAACATGTCAGTCACACCATGCTGTGACAATGCTGTTTGAGGTTGCTAGTTATCTATTTCTATATCATCTGCGATCTATTTAGGGTTGTAGTTACCGGAGGTAGAGAGAACGTGTATGAGTGCGCGCTTGTGTGTATGTGATTACGTCTGTTTGTCATTACCCATTGAATGTACGTCATATTATTAAATTTTATTTGTTACGCGATTTTTTCTCCGTAGATATTAACTATATTTTTGATCATTTATCTGCCTACTCTGAACTGAACATATAAACCCGTCTCTAAATAAAAGTTCAAAGTCTGAAGGGTGCATCTTGTACAATAATGCATCAATTAACGATAATAATTTTCAATCATAACTCTATATGACATATCAGTTCTTTATTCTCGTGTCAGTGAAATTCCAACTTACTTAAACAAAGATAATGCTCTAAACGTCCAAACATACGTGGTCTATGGAGAATTCATTGCAATATTCTGTACATTCTACAGAATTGAATATCCCTATACCTTCTTCTAATCTGAGATCACTAAACAACATTTAACTATAGAATTGAAGCTACATATGAAAGTTATGTCACGGTGTCCCCACTTGAATTCAGTAGATAGAACAAGTGGACGCTCTCATCTGAGATGGAAAGGTCATCGTGTCCATAGGAAACCGGAATATTAACTTACCAACCGCATCCATCCTTTAACTTCTCTTTCACACAGAACTGTCATACACTGACATGAGCGTTTCAGTGGCTCTATTTCTAGATAATGATCGGCGCTATACTAATCAATATGAGACATCCAAGACAAGACCTATTGGTCAAGCAGGTGCAGTGTTAAATGAGGAGGATCAAGGGAGACTCTTGCACAAAGCAGAAAAGTGCAAAAACGGACTCATACAAAAGCAGCTTAAAAGGCAATCAGTGTATGTGATACTGCGGGAGTCTGGGAGATGTCATTGACATGTTTAAACTCGGCAACACAACTTCTACAACACAAGGCATGACACCAAACCCAGATGAAATTCGTGAAACGATATAATATGCCTCAACCCATTATTGCTGCCGAGATCTTTCTGTAAGTGAGGACTTAATTCCTGTGACAAATTCTCGCCATTCAGATGAACATACAATACCTTTAAAAAGTAGCAATTGTTCTATTTGGGATAGTTCCGATTCCAAGATTGGGCTAAAGAGTTCTAGAAACTACTATCTTCGAGGTATTATTACCCTTTAAACATCCCAATAGGAATTCAAAGAGGCCAAGGTAGCCTAAACTTGGCAAGTGATCTCAATGACATCAGTCTTCTTCTTTGGTTTAGAATATTGAATATGCCACCCTACAGATTTACAAAAACATGCTACATGCTGATGCTTTATGACAGCAACGGAACATGTTACTGGGTGACAGATGTAATACATTTACTAATCTTTACTGGGTTTGTAATAAAAGGTATGAGAAGCGTATGAAGTCACACTCATATTTTCTCTTATCAATAGAACGACGACTGGCTGATATGTACACTTTCTCTGCGTATGTCCAGGTTACCATCAATAAGGACCAAGCATTTAAAAAGCTCTTACATCGTGACATCTATAAATTTGAATCAACCGCACCTGGAACGATTGGCCATGTAAAACCATTATACCTTTTCACAGTGAAAATTAATATTTTCAAATGTCTACTGCCAAAAGTATAATGTATAATTGTACAACAGGCCTGTGCTCTTATCATTGCAGAAAAAGAGCAAGTGAGTGAGTGAGTGAGTTTAGTTTTACGCCACACTCAGCAATATTCCAGCTATATGGCGGCAGTCTGTAAATAATCGAGTCTGGACCAGACAATCCAGTGATCAACAGCATGAGCATCGATCTGCGCAATTGGGAACTGATGACATATGTCAACCAAGTCAGCGAGTCTGACCGCCCGATCCAGTTAGTTGCCTCTTACGACAAGCATGGGTTACTGAAGATCAATATTCTACCCCGGACCTTCACGGGTAGCAGAAAGAGAGACTGATTGACAACACAAAGGCTGACATCAACTCCAGATGACAATCCAACATTTGCAACTACCACATCGTAAATACCGTGTATGTTTTATTATGTGTATTTTTGTGTAAAGGTTGACGAGAAGACACTGAGGTTATACAGACTTTACAGAAGCGTAGATATACAAACCCAAACCCGGAACATGGCGTCACCAGGATTGATGCACCATAAAATATTTATCAGTGCTCATGAGGATTCAGACAACAATCTTCCCTTCGGTTTACCATCTGCCTTCAATAGACACTGGGGCTAGCATACAGGATGCTATAGAAATAGCTAAACCTAAATAGCACAGACGTAACCAATTCGTCACTTTCAAAACTTAAATTCAAACCTAAGAGGTAGATTCACCCGTTATATGTTTCCCATTGTGAATTAGCCGTTATATTACTGAAATAAAACAATCTGTCGCATACATTATCAACAGTTGTTTTGACTGTGAATCATGATAGTCTACAACGTGCATACCGCTCGTCACCGACAGTAGATTATAACGAGAACGCTATTCCTATTATCAGGATTCCGAGATATTTGGGGCAGTCAATGCCGAGAAACATGAACATCATTGTCTTGCAACTGATCATACGCATTATTAATCTGCAGGACATGACAGTTATTTTATCCCAATCAATTTTCTTCAATGGAGGCTCGTGTTTACGTGGGACGAATGCTTTAACCAGACTCAGGCCATTTAATGGTTTCCATTAAAATAGGTCTTTCCAACCTCATTTAAACTTCAAAGACGATCACGTTCGTGACTGTGAGTTCGTTTCTGAATTCGTTTCCCCATGTAACACTAGAGGCTTGGATCAATGTTTACCATCATGCGCAGGTATCAATTGTCCTTAAAAATGCGATATCTTAGTATATTTGGCAATGTCGTCTTTCTTTCATTATCAGCTAGACCAAGCGCGTTTCGATGGCCCTTCATCAGTGTCACACATCTCTTGTTATTGACCAGAGTGAGTGAGTTTAGTTTCATGCCGCTTTTAGCAATATTCCAGCAATATCACGGTGGAGGGACACCAGAAATAGTCTTCACATATTGTACCCATATGGGGAATCGAAACCGGGTCTTCGGCGTGACGAGCGAACGCTTTAACCACTAGGCTACCCCACCGACCCCTTTATTGACCAGAAGTCCATACTTGAAACCTAAGCATAACAAAATGATAATACTTAATGTTTTTCGGTTTCCAGTCTCAAATGGATCGCGCTCAGTGCAAAATACGTGGCGTGATTGATCAAACTTAAACCAGTGGCTGATTTGTAGCCAGACACACTGTATCTGTTGTGCTTGACCAAAATGGATCTTGGCCTTAAAAACTTATCCAGCTGACAGGTACTTTATAAACATGTAAATTCTAGGCTCATTTTGATTTTCTATTTGATTCCTTCCCCGCCACAGGGCACAGAGTACAAACTTTCGTTTTCTCATTGTTTCCAAAACAGGGAAATCGACGCTGGCGTGTCCAGACATGTTTATCCTTGTAGCAGCCCCCGATGTCACTGATTTTTACTGATCCATGCATACTATTTTCACTGTTGTTGTACTTTATAGACCCAGTGAGAACTGTTTCGGGACAAAAACGAGACTGGTCATTTTCTGACGGTGACGGCATCTAGTTCATACTCTGGCTCTGGATGAAACTGCGGGGTTTCATAATTCAGTAATCGACAGCTCATAAAAAGTCATTAACCATCTGAACATCAAAGATGTGTAATCTGACACTCCCCCGTAACCATGTACGCCTACAATGTCGAACATCTGTGTTTGGCCAAGTCACTGGATCTCGTTGATGTACCAATCTTCTAGATGTGATTGTCCATTTGTGATATGAAGTAAGATGATTCTTTTTATCCTAAATGATGATGTGTTTTCCATCGTTACATTCTTATCTGTAAAAGAGCCCATTATGTTCACGAAATATGCCGTCTCTAGCTCTGTACATGTGTTAGATGTTTAAACTGCAGTATTGGTTCAGACGATGTGTGCTCACTGACATCAAGGACAGGCGGACACATATGTCCTTGTTTCCGACACACACAGTCAACGTTCAGGGGGCCATAAGACCATCGCATTCATATTTATTCTTTGTTGTTATTACAGTCAAGTAGTTAAAGCGTTCGCTCGTCACGCCGACGTCCCGGGTTCGATTCCCCACATGGGTACATTGCGTGAAGCCCATTTCTGGTGTCCCCCGCCGTGATATTGCTTTAATATTACTAAAAGCGGCGTAAAACCCAACTCACCCACTCACTCCATTACCATTACGTAAAGTTTGTAATTTCTGTTCCGAAAATCAGCATTATTGGTAATATTCCAGTTGGTTATATGCGACATAGTGTACAGTTGTAATTAGTGAAAACTGCTAATGATAGAGTGGAATATTAGGCCTGACGTTCTGTTAACCAACCGGCGTAAGCTAAACAAGTCTCTCTTCTGTTAATAAGTTATCTCTTGAAGTTGATTTGATAGGCTGAATAAGAAAGTTGCAGTTGCTTAAAATATATCTACAACGCTTGTATGAATAGACATATCAACCAGAACAATGAGCAGTACATAATACCATCCGTCAGGCTGCATTTCATGTTCAATTTTTTTGTATTAATCTTTCTCCTGTTCAACAGAACGACCAGGAGCTGTAGCAGACTTGTGACCATTTTGACGTTTGACGTTTGTTGTTTGAAAAAGGCTTTACCAAAATTGTGAATGTACCAATGTACACTAAATGTATGTCCTACTTTCTGCTAGTCGTTAAAACATTTGATTGTTAAATAAAGACACCACTAGTCTGTTCCTCCTTTTGCTTAGTTTTTCATTTGTAAAGTTACTCTGGCACCTGTTTCTCTCTATATTACATCTTTGAACTATACCGTGTGGTTTGTTTATTGTTTGTTTCAAGCAATATAACATCGGTTCCATTACCATCCAATTTTCAGTTGCTAGGGTATTTTAGGTCATATAGATTGTATGCAAAGTTCAAGGAAAGACATACTGTGTTTGAATCTAAGCTTTAAAATCAAAAGATAGTTCAAGTCACTCCAGAAATGTTACATGATATTACAGGAATCTACTTAATATGCCATCTCTCTCTCTTTAACATCAAGGCCGTTGGTGTCATGTTATTCTATAACCTTTACGCGGAGTATCCATATCTCCTTAAATACTGGCTCTTACTATGGTGGGCGCCTCCATGGTGTAGTGGTTAGAGCGTCCGCCCGGAGAGCGGAAGGTCGCAGGTTCGATCCCCGACCGTGTCATACCAAAAGACGTTAAAATATGGTACTTGTTGGTCCCTGCCTGGCACTCGGCATTAATGGGTACAACAAGGACTGGTCGGCTTGGAGTCAGTATAATGTGTCTGAGTGGGGTATTCATGCTTCACTGCGGCATGGTATCTCAGTGGGCTAGCACTATAAAACCAGCTTAAGTCTGGGCTAGTACAAGCAGCCGCACATACACATACACACGCATGCACGTCGTCATATGAGCGAATTATTCTCAAGCACGACGTTAAACCCAATTTCACCTCACCTCACCTTACTGTGGTGGGTGCTACATCATGTTCATCCATGCAAATATTAACATGGTTTCAATAGACGTCATTGTCCTTGATACCACAAACACAAACAAGGGACTGAAATACTTTTGATCAGAATCGTTCATCAAACTTCTTCAAGAACGTTATAGTGTGTTAAAAACAACAATACAGCAATGAAGTGCCTCAAATTTCATACGTTTTTCTTTTATTTCCATTAGATTACAATACTTGCAGAGAAAAAAAGTATGGATCTGCAAAGCATCAAACTCAGCAGTACATAACTTGAAGTAAGGTATGCATAATAACAATGCCATTTGTTGAAATCAGAGAGATCCGGCCCCGATTTCTCGAAACAAACTTAAGTTTTTACTCAAATTTCAAACTGAGTTTGACAATTTGAAACAGCTGAATTTTTAACTACGCTGCATTTTAAAAATATACCCCCACAAACAACTTAAGTAATCTATCCACTAAACTCAAATTGTCTATTTCTTAGTTTAATATCAATTTCAGTTCATTCTGGAAAATGCATTTTCCTGCGTTTTCTCAAATTGAGTAAAGTCAAAACTCAGATTCCAAGCAGCAGCGATGAGAAGTCCTGTGAATGATTCCCGGCCTCTTCATTCTACAAATCCGGCTTCCAGCATTTATTCAGGACTCAGCTATTTCACACCGGAAATTGGAGTTCGCTACGATGACTTTTTACACCAGGGTGTACGCCGACTTTTCACAGTGGCTATTCCAAAGTGATTAACAGTGGGAATAGACTGATGTGAAGGAGTGAGTGAGTTAACATTTTAAGTCACATCGGCAATATTTCAGCCATATCGTCAGTCAATCAACTTATAGTTTTATAATAATTAAAAATAAATTATAAACACCTGTCAACGACGGACAGTAAAACAACTAGATTATCACAAATACAAATGTAAAACTAGTAGTTAAATCTAAAACAGTTTAACTATTGAAGACTATCACAGATATGAATATTAAGCTAGTATCTAACTCTAAAACAGCTTAATTACAGAAGACAATACAATATAAAAACAGGCTGTAGATCGCCAACAACTGCAGGTAGATCACCATACTAGGGACCATGGGGACTTACAGTGCCCTTGCTACCTGCATGGACAATAAACTGATGTCTTGATGCAAGAGTTGTTGATGGTCCACTGTTTTGTGATTCACCAAGTCATTTCAATTCACCTAGCCACTGATCCCAGCATTTACGCATGCTACAATGAAAGGAATTGGTCCGACTATATATCGGATCTCAGTAATCTGTATGCCCTCGCATGTTACATAAAGATAAAGCAGACAAATATATGGATGACGGGCGTGACGTTGTTCACTAACAGTATTTCAGTTATTCGGCTTGTCAGCTTGACAGCTGAACGAGAGAATCAATGAAACCTGGTCAATTTCTAGTGTTTATAATCGGTGGTATATAATGACCTGATACATGTTATGACTTGTGTGATATATAATGTTGCGTTGAGGCTTTCTTAACAGTCATCGGGTCCCCAATGCGTAGATCGATGCTCTTAATGTTGATCACTGCATTGTCTGGACCAGACTCGACTATTTACAGACCGCCGCCATGTAGCTGATGTGCGGCGTTAAAACCAACCAACCAACCAACCAACCAGCTTTCGTAACACCACCACGCATCAAATGCTAACTTATTATCCCTTATTAGCCCTTGTTTTGTCTTACATGTCTGTTAGTATTCTGAAACTTTTCTTCCTGCTCTTGTCAAATATATGACGAGAGTAAGAGGAAAAATCTTCGAAAGACAAGTTATCACGCCTCAGTTTCAGTTTGATATGCAACTACGTTTCAGCTGCTTGAGCGACCGATTCTTAACTGTACCAGTCTATCATAGATATTTATGGGAGTGTCAGATATTCAGACACTCAGTCGGCTTTATCACAATTGCATATTGAACACTTTGGCTAGGAGGCTAACCATGGTGTCTGTCTCACATAATGTTCTCTTCAGGACTGATATTTCTGCAATACTGAAGCCCCGAAAGAAGCTTGTCTATAGATATATCTAGTTCCTCTGATTCTGAATCTTCCATATAAACCTGAAGTGTGCTTCTCACTATATATTAAGCATCTGTTCCTATACCGGAATAACCGTTTGAGGCTTTTGTTTGATCTCAGGTTTTACTTTTTGTAAGCAAGACCTCTTCCCAGGTTTTATTTTTCCTAACTCTGTATGAACACCAACATTCAAATGATATATGACAATAAAGCCCCTCGGGATTTCCTTCCTCCCAAGGTTTTACATTCTCTACCAAAACCTCGGGGGCGTGTTTTCTCCTATACATCTCACTGGGGCTCCTTTTCAGTTTAGGTTAGAGCGTCCGCCCAGAGTGCGGAAGGTCGCGGGTTCGATCCCCGACCGCGTCCTACCAAAAGACGTTAAAATATGGTACTTGTTGGTCCCTGCCTGGCGCTCGGCATTCATGGGTACAACAAGGACTGGTCGGCTCGGGGTCAGTATAATGTGTCTGAGTGGGGTATTCATGCTTCACTGTGGCATGGCATCTAAGTGAGCTAGCACTATAAAACCAGCTTCAGTCTGGGCTAGTACAAGCAGCCGCACATACACATACACACGCATGCACGTCGTCATATGAGCGAAATATTCTCAAGCACGACGTTAAACCCAATTCCACCACCACCACCTTTTCAGTTTAAATGAAATTATGTGTTTCCATAAAAATGACATACATTCAGAGCCTAAGTTTCAGTCCCAACTGACCATGATACTCTTGTAAACATTAAAGGAATAAGATAGTCTTCAGGGCCCCATGTATCTGTTTTTTCGGGCATTGGTCATATACCGTCACCTGATGTGTTGCGATTTCAGTTCCTTGTAATGATGGTCGCAGGTGCAGATGCAGTATAGTTTCCCAATTATGTATTGAAATGGACGTTCACAGCTGTCGGGAATAACATTACATACAACTTATACTGTACAACAATAACACAGAATATATAGTCAGTGTATACATAGTGTTTGTTCACGGCATTCATTGGCGTTGACGTAAAAATAATCTCAACTACTTTGTCTGATGAAACCAGTAGAACGTGTTTCTTTACACGGTATTTGCAATAATCTGAACTATATTGTCTGATGAAACCAGTAGAACGTGTTTCTTTACACGGTATTTGCAATAATCTGAACTATATTGTCTGATGAAACCAGTAGAACGTGTTTCTTTACACGGTATTTGCAATAATCTGAACTATATTGTCTGATGAAACCAATAGAACGTGTTTCTTTAATAATCGGTATATTTGCAATAATCTGAACTATATTGTCTGATGAAACCAGTAGAACGTGTTTCTTTACACGGTATTTGCAATAATCTGAACTATATTGTCTGATGAAACCATAGAACGTGTTTCTTTACACGGTGCAATTTGCAATAATCTGAACTATACACGTGTATCTTTTGCAATAATCTGAACTATATTGTCTGATGAAACCAATAGAACGTGTTTCTTTACACGGTATTTGCAATAATCTGAACTATATTGTCTGATGAAACCAGTAGAACGTGTTTCTTTACACGGTATTTGCAATAATCTGAACTATATTGTCTGATGAAACCAGTAGAACGTGTTTCTTTACACGGTATTTGCAATAATCTGAACTATATTGTCTGATGAAACCAGTAGAACGTGTTTCTTTACACGGTATTTGCAATAATCTGAACTATATTGTCTGATGAAACCAGTAGAACGTGTTTCTTTACACGGTATTTGCAATAATCTGAACTATATTGTCTGATGAAACCAGTAGAACGTGTTTCTTTACACGGTATTTGCAATAATCTGAACTATATTGTCTGATGAAACCAATAGAACGTGTTTCTTTACACGGTATTTGCAATAATCTGAACTATATTGTCTGATGAAACCAATAGAACGTGTTTCTTTACACGGTATTTGCAATAATGCAATAATCTGAACTATATTGTCTGATGAAACCAATAGAACGTGTTTCTTTACACGGTATTTGCAATAATCTGAACTATATTGTCTGATGAAACCAGTAGAACGTGTTTCTTTACACGGTATTTGCAATAATCTGAACTATATTGTCTGATGAAACCAATAGAACGTGTTTCTTTACACGGTTTTTGCAGTAATCTGAACTATATTGTCTGATGAAACCAGTAGAACGTGTTTCTTTACACGGTATTTGCAATAATCTGAACTATATTGTCTGATGAAACCAATAGAACGTGTTTCTTTACACGGTATTTGCAATAATCTGAACTTTTTTGTCTAATAAAACCAAGAAAACGTGTGTCTGTATACATAGTTCGCAATAATCTGAACTCTATTGCCTGATAAAACCAAATTTGTTTCAGGATATTTAATCATATTTTTATATTACCTGGGATTGACCGTATAGCTCTGAAATAAAGTTGGATTCCTTTCCTTAGTACTAACTTTTACACTTTACAACTGCCATTACCAATGAGGATCCTTTTGATTTCGCAGTTTCTTTTTAGGGTAGAATTTAGGTTTTAGTCATTCATTTAGAGTTGTCCCCAACGTCCAACTTCGTTATATGGAGATAATGACATGACGTGGGACATAGAAGATGTTATCTCTTCTGAGCCATTGCGAGATTCCCTATGAATCGTGTCAGGGGTAAATTGAAATGTTCAAAGCTAAACGGGAAACGGAAACAACCTTCTCCCAGTGTTGTGTGCCGGGGACATTTCTGATGTTTTGCTTTCAGCAGCACTCCTTTGTCTGACGAGTTTTAATGTTACAGTTTGTGATCGTTAGACCTCCAGTGATTGCCCCACATTCATTCAAGCGCGAGTTTATCACCGATTTCCGTGATATGGGATATGTGTTTTGGGCTGTGTTATGATCGGCTCATTTCTTGCAAATGTCAAGAGATGAGAGACCTATTTTGTCAGGACAATACTCACATGTGACTCCTGCTCTGGTCAACTGCTTTCTTTACGTCGTGGTTATTCATTTTGTAACAGGCAGACACCGTGTCAGGTGACCTGTGAGCGAGACTGAAAGTTGATCTGTGGCTATGAGCTGTATAGAGAGGAGAGGAGAGGAGAGGGAAGCGGGTGTCCATTGTGTTTAATGTATTTGTAACTGGTAGACACCGTGTCAGGTGATCTGTGAGCGAGACTGAAAGTTGATCTGTGGCTATGAGCTGTATAGAGAGGAGAGGAGAGGGAAGCGGGTGCCCATTGTGTTTAATGTATTTGTAACAGGTAGACACCGTGTCAAGTGATATGTGAGCAAGATTGAAGGTGGCTATGAGCTTTATAGAGAGTAGTGGGAAGCGGGTGTCCATAGTAATTAACGTATTTGCAACGTTTTCTACATTTTAATGATAAATAATATCAAAATACACCATATCATTAAGTACTGGTTCTTCTTTAAACATTGTTTCACCTTCATTTGGGTGGAAAGCCACCAAGAAGCAAATTGACTGTATTTGACCTGTGTCAAAGGAGATTCATGTAAAATACAGTATCGGTGTGAATTGCGCTGTTTCATTGGCATGAGTGAGACAGATATCATCGTGTTATTATAAGCATGTGTAATATATAGAATACATTGTGTCTTGTGTCAAACAGATCGACAGTAGGGCATGTTTTGGGACTAGGTTTTGCTGATTTGTACCGGGTACGGGAGACACAGTGGTCTAAAGAGCCGCAATTGTTTTCTTCTTTAAGTGACATTTAGAAGCTGGTGTGAAGAAGAGGAAGTACTTTGTTATGGATAGACAGCAATAAAGAAGCTGTCCATCCATAAAAAGTGTTTCCTCTTCGCAGTTGTTTAGATGGTCGCGGCCGGGCAGGGATAGGTCATATATACTGAGGGGAACAAATAAGGTATCACATGTGTCACAGTGTTCCTTTATTTGTTTCCAGGTTTCTTCACAAGCTATGCGATACAAAAGCCTGTGAAGAAACCTGGAAAAAAATAAAGGAACACTTGTGCTTTCATGTAATCCCTTATTTTTTTCCCTCAGTATATTTTCAGCAGCACAGTGGGTTTGTACGCTTCCTCTAATTGGTAGATGGCCACTTTGGGTTTTCCTGTAGACATCATATAGAGATATCAATGAATAAAGCTCCAGGTTGTATGGGGCATGGGAGACGTAATTTCCTCACGATGCTTGCCCACTGGTAGAGAATAGGTTAATGGCGATTTATGTTCTATATTTTAACAGTACCACAGAGATGCGTGCTAGTCTCACCAAACTGATAAATGCCACTTTGGGCTTTTAACTACCAACTGTATTAAAAGTTACCATCAAGCAACGGCAAACAAACTTATTCTAAATTGGAAGAACCTTTAGGTAAGTTCAAGTGTGAATTATAGGTGATTTCACGGTGTTGTTATCACGTTCTAAAACATCAAAACTCACCTTCATATATTGTTCTTTCAGATTTCAGTGAAACGTGAAAAACTTCAAAGTTACCTATACCCCCGGTCAAGTTGGTAGATCAGATATATACACTGAAACATAATGTCAGGTCATTTCAGTATTTCGCTTCAGTGATCATCCACTAATAGGTAGTAACCGTAAGTGTTTTTGAATTCACAGTTTCAAACAATGCATCTTTGTTTTAACAGGATATACATCATGAGCTCTCTTTTTGTCCTGTTGATTGATAACTCCAGCACAAAATAGACATTGGTGTTTAAAATCAAAATTTGTCTTTGGTGAACGTAAAGTCCTAGACTGGTTGTTCTTCGTGATTTTATTCCTACTACTGTTGAATTTCTTTATTTGCTGCGGATTGCAGTAGTGTCGACGACAATCAACATGAACAATCTGTCCCGGTCTGGTTTTGATTGAGTCACCACGTGCTTCGCTTGATTCATTTACACCTCTGCTGCCTTTCTCTCTCAGAACAACTGAACCTCCGCCTGTCTTCGCATGAATATGCAGCTTGCAT